TTGCAAGAGCGATTTTATAAACTCATTTAGTATATTTATGGGATACTTAAAAAACTTCTACTAACTACATATAACAAAATATGCGACATCTACATAAGCAAGTGCCAATAAATTGCTACGGCGAAAATGGTTGACTTTTGTATTCGCGGCCAACTAAAAGAATTTATCAAAACCTTTTCATCATCTACTTCCTCTTCGTTTCATTTTTCACTCGCCTTCCATAACTCTTTCTTTATTTATTTCTTTGCCTTCTTCATCTAACCCTAATTAGTATACAATTTTTATGTATTCTAATCACAAGTATGAACGTGTCCATATACAACTTACCAACAGTCTAGAGAATGAATAATTGAGCCATGAAATGTTTGGCTAGAATGTATTCTTTTTCACCCGAGCTAGAATGTTCAATAATTATACATGAAATGTTTGGCTAGGTATCTACACTTATCAAACAATAGTTTCCATTTTTCTATAAAAAAGTAAATAATTATCATCTTAAATACATCACCATAAAGGAATTAAGTCTCAACTATGCAAATTACAGTTCGGTACCTAAACTTAATAGATCTTTAGATTTATAACCTAAATTTATCTTTTTGGCACATAAGTCCTCAAAATATTGATGGAACATTATATTTTAGTACCTAAAATTTTTGTGTATGACATTTTGGTACCTAAACTTATAAAGTTCTACAAATAGGTCTAACTTTTTTATGTGTAATTAAAACACCCTCGAATAAATGGGTATACATACCTAACTCATACACATTAAGATTATGGAAGTAAATATCCATATCCTACTCAAACCCATCTACAAAAATTAAAAGTCATATATACGTCACCCATACCCTACCTATAAATAATCAATGAGTCTACTTGGGTTTAGGTAAAAATAATTTATTAGCAAAAAATTTTAATTTTTTTAATTGAATGTTGACCGTCATATATCTCTTCTAAGTCAATATCATATTGTCAAGTCAACATTACTAACAAAACTGCTAACAAAAATTAATTTTAGGCTAATAATACTAACAAAACACCATATCGGGCCACATAATACATCCCATAAACCATCTCCGTCTCGCAACAAGCACGGCATCGCCGCCTAATACTACTAATTATGATAGTTTGACCAGTAATTTTCCGGTGCCTGCATTTTGCAATATATTTTCATGTGAAATTTTATAATAGAGTTACACTCGTAAGTTCATGACTTGATGTTGTGAGTCTTGAATCATCTCATTCATAAACGAAATAAAATAATTATGAAAAAAATGTGCCTATGAATTATGAAAATGAGTTGTGTTTTTTTACACAATGTGACAAGAAAGGTTGTTATTTTGTAATTTCGCCAACAAAGCGAAGGATTGTAGTGATTCCCCAAACTACCGAGTACCCATCCGAACTTTTTTTTCCCAAAAGATATCATGTATTGATAAAAAAAATAGACAGTTACACCCTGGAAACCAACTAGGTCTGAAAATCAAAGAAGCGACTCATAGTCGGATACAAAGAGAGGGCTTTCCTAGCTACCAAATGAGCTACCCTATTGTTTTTTCCGACCTACAAAACGCACACTAAAGCCAGGTTGAGTACGAAAATAATGAGCAATCTCTTCCAGAACAGCACCCAACCGGCTATCTCTTGTGTCGACTTGATTAATTTTGTCAATAATCACCTTCGCATCGCCCTCAAATCGGACCTCCGACAAACCTTGCTCCACACACCAAATAATAGCTTCCCTAAACACCAACAATTCCACCACTACAGGATCATTCATTTGAGAAAACTGGACCCCTCTAGCTAGAAGGAGTGTCCGCGCTGGGTCAAAAAGAACCATCCCACCAGCCGAATGAGACTCACCCTTAGTAGCCCCGTCCCACATGCAAACCAAATGGGAACCACCCACTTGTGCTGAAGATTGCATTATCGGGACTTGTACTCTAGGCACCTGGTCCGCTGGTAGACCAACCCATGCCTCATACTGTTGGTGAAACTGTCGCATGAGCGCGGGGGTCCCAAATTGTTTTCCTTCAAAGACTACCCAATTATGAGATCGCTAGATCCTCCAAAGGACGGCAACAACAACCATAACCACTGACGGTTGATGGATCAACCCCAACAGACGCTTGAGAAACAGAGAAAAAGTATGTCGAGGCAAATCCTCCCCCAAGTATTCCAACCCAGAATAGTCCCAGAGAGCTCGCGCAACCGGACAGTAAAGGAACATATGTTCCGTTGTCTCCGGGCCATCCCAACAAACTGGACAACGAGGTAGCACCTGGACCTTTTTCTCAATAAGCGCCTCCATAGTCGGCAGAGCCCGATTAAGAATTTGCCACACAAAAACCTTCAACTTCGGAGGGATCTTCGCCTCCCAAACTATAATCCAACTCGGCCTATCCATCCAGCTAACCGAGAATCGCCACCCACCCCTCCTACTGTCCAACTCGACAGCCAAATGATAAGCTGACTTAACCGAGAAGACCCCGTCGGTCGTAAAATGCCAGATAAGCTTATCAGGCACATCCCAATGCGGGAGGGGAATCGCTTTAATAGCCTTACAGGTGGGCGGGTCAAACCATTGACTGAGCTTCTCATCATACCATCTCCCTCCCCCCTCACTAATAACCTCCGCCACCAATGGATCACCCCCCTCAGGCAAGATCTGCATATTATAGCATGGGGAATCTAATTGGTACCTAGGAATCCAATTAGAATGAAGGAGGGAGAGCGATTGGCCATTACCAACTTGCCATCTCAAACCCCTCTCCAATAACTGACTCCCATAAAGGATACCTTGCCACCCCCAAGAGGGACGAGACCTAGCAGTCGCTGTTAGGAAAGACCCTTGAGGGAAATACTTGCCTTTATAGAGAATACGCCAGCCAATCTTAGCCAAAAGAGCTTGGTTGAAATGCTCGAACTGGCGAAATCCCATCCCCCCATCATGCTTACTCCTGCACATGTTACGCCAGGACACCCATCTGATCTTGGGACTACCGTCTGCAACACCCCACAAAAAATGGGCCACATGCTTATCTAAAAGCCGACAAAGAGCCAGGGGGAGACGGAAACAGGACATCACATAAAGGGGAAGAGCCAATGCTATGGATTTAATCAAAGTTTCCTTAGCAGTCCACGACAATGTCCTTTGTTTCCACCCCTGAAGCCGTTCTAGGAGTTTGGCCTCCAAATATCTAAATGTAGCCGTTTTGGATCGAGCAACCAGCGTTGGAAGCCCCAAATATTTATCGTGGACCCCCACCGCACTAACCCATAGAATCGTGGCTAAGAACTCCTGATCTGGCGTGGAAATATTCTTGCTAAAGCACACCGCCGACTTCTCCAAATTAACGCGTTGACCACTCAGTTCCTCATATTCATTCAGTACCTCAATTAAATTATCGCACTCTTGCAGAGAACCTCGCAAAAATAAATAAGAATCATCTGCGAAGAACAGATGCGAGATTCTTGGAGCACGAGGAGCTACTTTCACCCCCTCTAATTTTTTCTCCGTGATCGCCTTTCAGAGGAGGGCTGCAAACCCCTCCGTGCAAAGTACAAACAAGAGAGGAGAGAGCGGATCCCCCTGGCGAAGGCCCCTAGAGGCAGTGAAATATCCCGAGGGTGTACCATTCATTAGAACCGAGAAGGAGGAGGATCGAAGATATTCATGTATCCATCCTTGCCAGACTGAATTAAAACCCTTCTTATCCAAAACTGCAAGCAGGAAGGGCCATTCGACTCTATCATAGGCCTTTTCCATGTCAACCTTCAGAGCCATGCCCACAATATCCCAGAAAGCTTTAAAGAACTTCCCTGTGAAGCCATCCGATCCCGGGGCCTGTTTCGAGCCCATGGAAAAGACCGTCCTCCGGACCTCACTAGGCAAAACCTCCGCCGTCAACTGTGCATTCATTTGCGGAGTAACACTACAGGCAATCGGCAGAGTCACCACCCTTTCAGCCATATTCGGGACCTGTGTTTCCGAGGTAAACAAGGTCTGGTAAAAATTGGTGGCAATAGAAACCTTGATCGAGTAGGATATAAAGGTAAATCAACTCGAATGAGTGGGTATTAAAAAAAAGCACACCCAAGAGGCCACACTCATTAAATTTAGGCTGGATAGCCTATAAATTTTTTTATGTTTTAAGGTTTAAATTTGAATTTTGTACTGAAACTAATATCATCTTCAAAAAATTAAATTTGGTATAAAATGGTCCTAAATTTATTTATAGAAATTACTCTTTAGTGGTTAAAAATGTTTTATTTTAGATTATAGTGTCCTAAAATATTTAAGGTTACAAATAGGCCAAAAAGGATATATAGTTAAATACCATGCCCAAATATAGGTCTTCATATCCAATTTAAATGTGAAAGTAAAATTCATACCCATACATGGTTGAACTAATCATATATAATCAACCCATAATTAATATGTTGAGTAAAACAAATTACTAAAAAAATTACCCATGAATGAGTAATTATCTGTCATCCATAAAATAAGCTCACCTTAATATATGATCAATCATTTTATAAATAAATAAAAAATATATGTACATGTATAATTTTGCGTGTATCGTAATCTTTATTGTCATTTATAAATACCTACAAAAAAAATTTGACGATTTACAAACCCTATATCTAAATTTTGTACTCATTTGCATGGTTTACAAATTATTTGTTAAAAAATTATAAACTCTTTGCCAATCATTCACAAACAACAACAATATATAAAATTCACCCGATATCCAAAATATTCATAAATGCTGACTCACCAAAAAAAACAAAATATTCATAAATGCTGACTCACCCTATATACATTAATGCATCATGGGACACCTTCGCCGATCAATATGCGTTTCACAAAATTTCTCCCCCCGCCCGTTCGGCAAGAACAGCAGCCCACAATCACAAAGATAGAAAACAAACAAACTTATAGAAAAGAAAAGGAAAGGAAACTTATAGAAAAGAAAAGAAAAGGAAAGGAAAGGGAAATGGCGACCAAATTCAGTTGGTCCGCTACCAACAAATTCATACATCCCCTCTCCTCCTCCCTCACCCGCCTCGCCCATTTCGGCCGGTCATCCATGTACCCGATGACCTGCTTCTACCGGTTCCTCGTCGTCCGGGTCAACTCGCTCTTCACCCACCTCTGCTATTTCCTCTCCCTCTCTTTCGTCGGCTACTGCTTCCTCAAGTCCCTCGACACACGGTTGGGCGCCGAGGTCCCGAGGAGCATCGACTTCTTCTTCACTGCCGTCTCCACCGCCACCGACTCCAGCATGTCCACCGTCGAGATGGAGGTCTTCTCCGACTCCCAGCTCCTCTTCATGACCTTCCTCATGTTTGTCGGCGGCGAGGTCTTCGTCTCCCTGGTCGGTCTCATTGTCAAGACCTCCCGAATGAGGAGGTCTTGGATGATGACACAGGGGGACGACAGGGTCATCCCCACCACTACAATTGGTGGTGGGGATGACCCCACCTCAACTCCACATCGAGGTGATCTCGAATTGAGTGTGGTCCCATCAGACCACCACTCAATTGGAAGCAGGGACGAGGAGGAGGGGGAGATTTCGTCTTCGTCCTCGTCTCTGGATGACAGGGAGAGAATTTTTGAATACAAGTCGGTCCGACTTTTATGCTACGTCGTTTTGTGCTACCTCGTAGCGACTCACATTTTGGGGGTTTCCGTGCTCTCCCTGTACCTCGCGCTGTCCAGCAGCGCGAGGGGCGTTCTGAGGGAGAAAGGGCTGAAGAGCTTCACTTTCTCCCTCTTCACCACGGTCTCCACGTTCGCGAGCTGCGGGTTCCTCCCGACGAACGAGAACATGATCGTGTTCAGGAAGAACACGATCATGCAGCTGATTCTCATCCCTCAGGTTTTGTTGGGGAACACTCTGTTCCCACCCTGCCTCCGCCTCTGCGTCTGGGCTGCCAGAAAGCTGATGAAGTCGAAATCAGACCAGTCCGATCACCTGCTGAGGAACACGAGACGGGTCGGGTTCTACCACCTCCTCCCCGGGCGGGAGTCGGTGTACCTGGCGGCGACGGTGGCCGGATTCGTGGCGGTACAATTGGCTCTGTTCTGCGGGACGGACTGGCGGTCGGAGGGTCTGAAAGGGATGAACCCGGTGGAGAAATTGGCCGGGGCGCTGTTCCTGACGGTGAATTCTAGACATTCCGGCGAGTCCATCGTCGATCTGGCCACCGTTTCCACGGCGTCGCTGGTGGTGTTCGTCGTAATGATGTGAGTACTCTGTTTCTCTGTTTCCCTCTGCTACGGTTTCTTGTTTAACTTTTTGTTGCTGAGTTGGCATGTTGAGTCAGTTGCTGGCGTCATATATATTTATTTTCCCGAACAACCTTAAATGGGTGCGTTGACTGATATGACTTGCATTATGAGCACAAAAAACGTTATTATATTGGAAATGATTACCCAGCTTAGCTTCGCTAAGCACTCCTAGGTTTCGTTTTTTTGTATTATGTTTTTAGAATTAAGGTTATGGATAATTGAGATTTTAATTAATCAGTTGTATGTAAGTGCAAGCTAAAGGAATAAATATCAATAGTGTTGGAAACATAATATGATTAATGGGTTTCACCCACTTTTTACCCTCCAAAAAACATAGTTTAATATAATATTTTAGAGGGCAACACTAAAAATGCTTTTACTATAATATGTGTGCGTACGAAACATGCCAAACAAATTTGAAAAGTGAAAGGACGGTTCATTATTTTTCAAACACACTCTCTTTCAAAAAAAAAAAAAAAACAACCTCAATTCTTGAAACCGATACAATTATCCTCGATTTCTCCTCGTTCTAAATCCTGTTTTTTTCGTCGATTACGTAATTTTGTGGTTTTCAATTTCGTCCCAATTTTCATATTGACCAAGGCTGAGAAGAGAGTTTTCGTCATTTATTAGGAGGGAAGTGATGGATAGAGTTGACTTGTTTGTTTATAAATTAAGCTTGGCTTCTTCTTCTGTTCCCTCTCTAGCTAGCTTAGCTAGCTAAAATGTCATTGATTCATAATTATGTGCTGCATGTCTCTTGCTTTCATGTAACCGCACAAGCAAGTCGTCTTCCACATGGGAAGTTGTCAGCACTCAGCACTACTCTTCCACATGGCAAAATTCTAGCCAAATATAACCGTACTTCAATCCATGATCTGACAGTTATATCTAGTTTATTGTATTTCGTTTAATTATAGTCCTCGATTTTTATCTCCTATTAAGTTGATTTTCAGGTTTAGATTTAAAAAATCGATGACCGATGATTTATCCGTTATTATTTAACTATACGTGACACTAAATTTCACTTCCCTTGTCGTAATTTCTTATAGGTACCTTCCACCGTACACGTCGTTCCTTCCGACCACAGGAGGCGAAGAAGAAGAAGAGGCAGATCAGATAAAAAATCAACAAGAGACAATTAATTATAGTACTACAGGTGAAATAATAACAAGGACGAGAAGCAGAAGAAGAGGAAGGCAAAGTAGCTATAAACATAAGAGCAATAGTAATAGGTTACTGGAGAATGTGGTGGTTTCACAGCTCTCCTTCCTAGCAATATTCGTCGTTTTGATATGCATCACCGAGCGACATAGTATGAAGGAGGATCCACTCAATTTCAGCGTTTTCAACATTGTCCTCGAAGTCATCAGGTATATATATATATATAAAATAAATTGTGTTGCAAACGTCTTTCATACTTAGTTTATTTATGTTTATGAACGAACTCGAGCGCGATAGGGGTGTGTTCACTGTGCGAGAGAGGTTCGAGAATGAGTGCGAAACTTTCCATCCTCTCTTCAAAAAATTGCTTTAATGATCCAACGAGTTAACTCATACTTAAGTTTGAATGTTTGATTTGCAAAAAGAAAAACATTGCATATATTGTGCTTAAAAACGACAGTTAATAATACAGTTTATCATGAAAACCAAACACTAGACCTTTGAGTTAAAAGTCTTAAACCACTCCGAGAACCTGCCTATCTCAATAACTAAAACTTTTGAAAGAGTAAGTTTTATACCATATCGAGAACTTTAAAATCAGAATCTCCGAATTTTTTCTGACTGGACCTATAATAACATCACAAATATATTTCTAGAATCTCAAAGTATTAATTTCCAAGTTTGTTTATTTATTTTTCTACACCAAACGAGAGACATGTGGTTGGTGAATTGTATACATTCAAAGAATGCACCAAGAGGACCAAAACTTTTGAAGAATAAAAAAGGGCTAAATTTTAGTCACTCAAATTACATAAATTTTTCACGTTTGCCACCCGAATTACTATTCTTTCTTATTAGCCACTAACTTTATAAATTCTTTCACCATTGGTCACCGACCGTTAGTCTCCGTTAACTCCGTCAGTTTTTTGATGACGTGGCAAACGAAACTGCTGACTGGACCGTTAACTTAATGACATGTCAATTAAAAAAATAAAAAATTAACAATTTACCTCACCACCGCCGCGTCTGAAGGTTCGCTCCGCCGTCGCCGCGTCTGAAGAAGGTCCGCTCAATTTCAGAATGAAACTGATCAAAGTAACAAAGGGGAATCCGGATTTGGAATGAAGCGTCCTTGCCAATGGTCAACCTGTCCCCGATTGCGACCCCTTTAGGTTCCTATATCTTCCGCATTCACCAGGATCTCATCGAAGATATTGTACAACCCAGGCACGTAGGAGACGGAACGATACACCATACGGCCGTCTTCGTAGACTTAGGGAGTCTGAGTATGCTACTCGATTGACCCGATATAGGTGTCCGGCCGGAGCAAGATTTGCTCTAGTTGCGTCTTCTTTTGGTAAATCTCTTCGATGGTCTTCTGCGGCTCCGCCGCAAGATTCACGTTGTTGTTGGTCATCACCGACCCCTTCTTGCTCCCCACCATGATTCCGACTTATGAATATGCTGTCGGATCTCGAATGAGAATTTAGGGTTTGCTGTGAACCGATTACCACAAGAGGGTATGATCGACGGTCTGTGGGGTTACTTAGGGTTGCAGATTGATGAGATTAAGGGTTTGGTTGGAGCCAAGAGGGGAGAGGATTAGTAGAGAGACACAGAATTAGTGTCTAATATCGTCGAGAGACAAGAGACACAGAGTTGGCATCTTTCTCACCTTCTTCCGACGGCGGCGGCCGTGGTGGAGTTGGAGAGGATGCGCGTCTTCGACGATAAGAATGAGGGTAAATAATTTTTTTTATTTTTTTTTAAGATTGATATGTAATTAATTTAACTGCCCATTCAGCATTCTGTTTGCCACGTCATCAAAAAACTGACGGTGTTAACGGAGTCTAACGGAAACTAACGGCCGGTGACTAACAGTGAAATGATTCGTAAAGTTAGTGGTCAATAAGAAAGAAAAGTAATTTGAGTGGCAAATATGAAATATTTATATAATTTGAGTGACCAAATATGTAATTTAGCCAATAAAAAAGCATTGAAAGTTAGAAAGGGGAGGGTGGTAAATTAATTAGAGGCCTCATATTTTTGTCGCGAAAAAAAATAAAACAAGATTCCTCGAAAATTTTTGAACAGTCAAGTCTATACGTCGGTAAGTTTCCCAAAATTAGGAGGACCGTTCTTTCGTCAAAGACACATATGCTTCACAATATTTGGATTTATACTCTTCAGTCATCGTTGAATTTTACTAGGGAAGTATACGCAACATTTTTTGTTACGTCTGTGTGTTTACTCTGAATGAAAACTTATGGGCACGTAATTAATTGATTAATTATGTTTGTTAATTAATCACCATTGTTATATTGTGGCAGTGCGTATGGGAATGTGGGATTTTCGATGGGGTACAGTTGCCAGAGACGGATAAATCCTTCCGGCGCCGGAGATTGCCGGGACAAGTTCACCGGCTTGTCGGGGAGGTGGAGCGACGAAGGCAAGGTCGTTCTCATTCTGGTGATGTTGTTTGGAAGGCTCAAGAAGTTCAACATGGCCGGCGGGAAAGCCTGGAAACTTCTGTGATCGCCGGGATTAAATGACGACGCAGTTATTACCTCACCGGCCGGCCGGCCATTATATTGTTTTCCTTCATCAGATGGTAAATTGGTGATCTCTAAAGAGAAGAGGAACATATATATATGATTAATTATGGGTGATGTTGGAATTATATGATTAAAAATTGTAACTATAAAATTACTCATCATTTTCCAACGGCTAGTTACGAAATATAATATCTTAACCAAAATCGGCCAAATTAATACAATAACCAAATAAACCAAAATTACGGTATAATCGGTTTAGTTGATTGGTTATTCGAGTCAACCAATCTAACATAACAACATCCTTACGCGAGAGAAAAATATCATGTTAATACATCAATCTGTAATATTTATAATGAATGAAACATAAAATCAACATATAGTTAATGCTTATTATAAATTCATAATTAATATGATTATCATACATTAGAAGTAGACCGTTAAAGAAAATACGTACCAATGACATGGGTAATGAACTGGGTGTGTCTGTGTTAATTGTACGTCTTAGTCTCTTAGCAGTAGTCAGAGGTCAGTAAAACCATTCCCTTTTTAAGTTTTTTTTTTTATGAGTCCAAAAAGAGAAACGTTAGGCTCTTAGCTGGTTATGCAAAGTATTAGATGTGAGTCACACCACTTCACGATATCTACCGACATGAAATATCATGGTTTGTAAATCACTAGTATGTCGAACGTTACGATCGGTTTAATCGATACCATCGGTTTAATCGATACCAGACACAAAATTTACTAGAATACCAGGCTACCAAGTACCAACGGTATGAAGTGGTAGTGAACTCCAAGAAAAAAGAATCAAAAACTATGATACGATGATATTGGGAGGAAACGGAGCCGTAAACAAAAAGCCCAATTTGAACCGCGGACCGCGGCCCATCCACTCTAGTCGTAACTAATTACTAATCCCAAAAACAATCTGTTTGGATAGTTCCAATTGCCACGGCAGAAGAGACGACGGCTCTCTCCTCCTCCTCCACCTCCCTCGCCGCCTGCTGCGGACCAGAGTTCCCTCCATCATCTCCACCAATCGCTTTCCTTCTCCGTTTGCCCGGTTTCAGAAAGGTACTCTTGCTTCTTTCTGCTTTTCAGGATGGTTAATTGATCCTGCTCCACTCCGAATTTGGTTTTCGGTTTCACACTTAGTCTGTTTCTTCATCGGTGTATTGTGTATATGATTCGGGCCGAATTCGATTTCTTCCGAGAAAGTCCTGATTGAAGATTTGGTTGTGTTTCTTGCTCATTCAAACCAGTTCTATGGGGTTTTAATGGATAGGTGACATGGACGCTGCCGACTGTTTCTCCGCAATTTGGGAAGAGATTGATCGTTCAGAGAGGCGAGTGGTTCAGTCGTTAGTTTGTCTAATGAAATGAAAGCATTCCTGAGCTTGATTGTTTGTTTTCCTTTTGTGGGTAATGAATTTTTTTTTTTTTTTTTGAATTTTCCGTTTTCAGCTACCTTGTTTGCTCAAACTATGAGGAGGCTGCATCAATGGCTTCAGCGGTTTTGAAACGAATACGCGAAAATGGCGATGGAAGCAGAGCATTTGAGCACAATGATGAGCTGTTCGAAGTTATGGAGTCTGCGGGTATGGTGTTGGTTCAGTCCTTGAACGAACTTGGAAGGTGATCCTAGTGCTTTTCTTTTGGCTTTCTGAAAATTGCAGAGAATTTAGCACAGTTTAAAAAATGAGAGAGAAATTTATAATATGTTTTTGGGCTTTCCTCGTATGACTGATATATCGCGATAGTTTGTGAGCATGTACCCTATTCCGAGGAGAGTCACTTATATAGATGGTTCATGGTTGGTTGAATCGAACTGCTTTCAGTGGTTTCCAATTGTGCAATATGGTCATTCTTTGGTTTGTAAGGCTACTTCCCTTCAGATAGCCTTGAGTGGATAAAAGACCTCTTATGCATAAGAGGAAAGGGTTAACTCAAGAGCTTGGTTTTCCTTTAATGTGTGGGTGATGTTGAAATTTTTTCAGAGCATCAAATATTTTGAGTGAGCTGAAGGAGCTGTTCGGTTATCCTGCAGCAGTGCCTGCTGAAGTCCTTCTAACTGGGTATGCTGCTGCTTCCCTTCACTTTTCATCGAGCCAAGTAGGTCATTTGGTATTGCTTTCTACCCATTATTCAAAAAAATTTGTCTCACCAAGAGTTCTGATATGTTGGATCATAGTTTATGGGGATGCATGAGGAAGAGAATTATCACTTTATTTAGTCATCAATTCACATTCCAATTTAGTGCGATCCTTGAAACTAGGAGACTGTCAGTTGCAAGACAAATAACTGAAATTAGTCATTTGAACCTCAGGACTTCCGATGTTTAGAGCATGCGTGTTAGGCTGATGCGTACATGAGAGGATGCTCACTCTGTTAAGTTAAGATATGAACTTGTACGAAATCTAGGCTGTGCAACCTGCAGATCCTAGAGTTACATACACGCTCATGGACTGGTGTGTAACAACTAGTTACTTGTCCCAAATCTGATTAGTAAAAGGCATGACCTGCCTTAGCAGCACAGTGGAGAAAAATCATAAAAATTTCATTTATTCCAGAAGAGAAGGCTATGAATTAAATTTGTTCCCTTTAGATGTTTTCCTATTTAATCCGATTGTGGTGTTCTAGAGTGTTGGTTGACTTGCTCAATTGATAACTAATAGTGCATCCGAGCCCTGCTTACATCTTAAGTTCAGTGCTAAGTAAATATGTTGAATTTATTGATGTAGGATACTGTTTAGTATGGTAAATGACTATGAGATAATCTGTTGGTGATGTCATTTTCACGTAGCTTTATCTACTCTAAAAGACTAACAATTAAAAGCTTTGACTCTCATAAATAGCTGATCAAGATGTGGTGACTTAGACCATTGCATTTTATCGCGATTTTGTATAAGTCAATTCCAATAGTAACGTAATTAGTAGGTGAATCCTAATGCTATGCTATGTGCTCATTCGCTAATGGGTTCCTGAACAGAGTTTTCAGGATTTTGCATCTTACACTTGGGAGGTTTGAAGTTTGAGCATATTGAATCTGAAGTGATCTATGGTGTTAGTTGCTAGAAGATTTTTAAGCAAACATGCTAGCAACTGCATGTCGAACATGTACAATATGTATATAACATGTTTGTCTCTCGATTCTCAAACTTACACATCTATAGAGTATATAGTGACAGATCAGATTTGTAAGCTGATTTTGGTATTAAGTTAGACCAGGTAATCTTTTGATTCTTTTCACAGGATATGTTTGCAAATATCAGCAGGGTCATTAATGGGAGTGAAAGAGTTCCTTCAGGACTTCCTTAGCATATGGAGTCTTGAGGATGGAAGAGTTTATGTTCTTTCCGGAGCAGATTCCAATATGAAGGTCCATGAGCAACGTGACAGGAGGAATACATTGGATGTTGAAACCTTTTCAGCAGTTGTTGAGCTCTATGCTGTTACATTACTTGGCAAGCATTTGAAAGAGTCGAACCTTGCAATTTCTTGGCTTGAGAAAGCTGCCTTACCGGAGGAAAAGCGACAGGTGATACATTACCATCTTGCCTCTTATATTTTTTCCTTTGCTATTGGAATCTAGAAATAATTCAGATGCTTTATGCAAACACAGTTTTGATTCGATGCAATAAGTTACCTCCAAAATCAATTACAGTTTGTGTATGCCATGAACATGCTAATATTAGAATTAGATGGTAGATTCACTTTAGTACCTGATGAAGTTGTGTATATATTATATGATAGATAGGTTGTTATCAATAGAACATTACCCTAAAATAATCTTATCTTTGACGATGTGTTGTTGCAGGTGCTCTTGAGAAGATTGCACTCAATGTATTCCGAGAAAACCTCCAACAGGGTCCAGGGTTCTTCAGACTTGCCAGAAGATAGGGATATTCATGGTTCCTCGTCAAACTTAGCAGATTTATCTGAAGAATCCTCGAAGGCTTCAAAAGCAAACTATATGCCGAATGGGAAAACTGCAATAAACCAGGCAATTAAGGACATTTCGCGGCACAGAAACCAGTCTGTATGGTGGTGGTTTCGTTCAATCAATTTGAAGTTTGGAAACATGTGTCTGGCTGTAACAAATGGAAAGATCGTGCTTAGTTGTCTCTTCGTTCTCCTATGTTATCTCGTTCAGAAGAAGCGAGTTGCTTTGAATGAGTGAGTTACCACTTACTGCCTTTCTCCTTCATCTACAGTGGGAATGCATTGTTTCCTTCCAGTCAGTGATTATTCCGCATCCTACGGTACATACTAAAAAAAACTATTCTTCAATTGTTTCTTATGGGATGCAGGATTGTAAAGAGACGGGTTTTATGGGTCAAGAAGTCTCTGTTAGACCTGTGGCGGCTTGCATTTTCGTACCAGGTGAATCCCTTGGCTGCTGTTCAACCTATCCCTGCAGCAACTCGGCCAGGACGGTGATGTTATTGGCCCCCTCGTTTCCCATCCTTTGTTTTGTTGTGTGATTCTCTGTTCTTCTTCCAATGTGTTGGTCTTTCTAAATTAGAATTGCAATGTCCAGTAGCTAGGAGTCTCATTGAAGATGAGAAGAGTTCCTTGTATGTTACTGGAAAATGGGAATAAAGACATAAGAGTGCGTTTCTAAATTGTCTGAGATGTATTTGCAAAGCCACTCTTTAGTTCAATACATTTGTGCTTAAATTTTTATAGAGTGAGTTTCTATTTACTTTTCCAACCTTCAAAAACATCCGAGATTACATCGTTCTGTTACAATTGGGATTGACTGTTCTGCTACAATTGTGATTTCATTGCACTCAAATACATCGAAAGCATTGACGAAAACCAATGCAGTTTAATTTGCATGCAAATACAAATTTCACCCAAAGAAACGACCAGGGAGTAAAATCTCATTGTGATACAGATGTGTTAACCAACAACTTATGTAATATTAACGGTATTGCTTGGAAATTCATGTCAGTTAATTTTGTAAGGAAGGACTTACAGGGTTGTTTTCCCCCCTTCCTTTCCATTCTCTTTTTCTCGTTTCTGGTATTTTATGTCTGTTTCTCAACAAGAGAAGCCAAAAGAAAGAGGAAATTAGAGGGCTGTTTGGGGGGTGTTATTTTGAGAGAGGACCAAGCCAATGTTCTGTTTGTTCAGTTTTTACCCATGCTCCCTTTTGGCATATTTATCTCCTAATTTAAATAGGCATCCAAGCTTAGCTCCCCAGACATCAATCAGACCCTCCATTTGCAAAGGAAAGAAGAAAGCAGAGGAAGAAAAAGCAGAGGAGGGAAAGGCTAGAGGAGAAGAAGAAAATGTCGAGGAAGGTGTCGGAGAAGGAGCACCAGCAAGTGGTTGTGGCAGTGGACAAAGACAAGGGAAGTCAGCATGCCCTGAAATGGGCAACCGATCATCTCGTTAGCAAAGGCCAAACCATTGTTCTCCTTCACGTCAAACACCGCACCTCGTCTTCTTCATCCTCTTCCTCTTCTTCCTCTGCTCCTGCTGCTCTAGATGATAACAGAGTCCCCATTGATGGCCAGGCCAGAGAGCTTTTGCTTCCTTTCCGCTGCTTCTGCACCCGCAAAGACGTATGATTGATTACCTTCATTCATTTCCTCTGTTTCCCCCCCATTTGTCACCCATCCATCCCATTTGACATGTATCATTGTTTCTGGGTTTGGTTTGTTTTTCAATCCAGCTAAAATGCAATGAAGTTGTTGTGGAGGACTACGACATAGCCAAAGCAATCGTCGACTATGTGAATGCGAATTCCGTCGACGCCGTGGTGCTCGGCAGCGCTTCAAAAGGCGGCCTCGTTAGGTAGATGAATCTTCTTTAAAAAATCTGGGCTTGGGAGAGGCGCAGATATGGGGTTTTTTTTCCAGAATTCTCCTGCAGTGTTGCTAAAGTTTGTTCCTTTGCGTTTGTTTCTCTTTTCTTTCCGTACCCCGTTACAGGAAATTCAGGGTGACAGATGTTCCAAGCAATGTCTATAAACTGGCACCAGATTTCTGTACCGTTTATGTCATCAGCAAAGGAAAGATTTCATCCGTGAAAACTGCTACCGCGCCTGTCCCTGCATTGCCTCGACCTACTGCTGCTGCTGCAGCAGCTGCCTCTCCAGCCCCCGGTTTCGCAAATCCTGAAACGGCTTCCAGGGCTTACCAAAGAGGTTTGCTTATGCTGTTTCACGTTTGCTTTCCTGTGGTGTGGATAAAATCTCCAATGATTTCTAGGAGCTGACGACATAATGGTTCGGATTTGTCAGCAGAAAGATCAGTTTACCCGTCAAGCAATCAGAATGAAGATGATTTCATAAGGTGTGTTTTTTTTTTGTTCTTATTTCCATTTTAACAGTCACAATGAGATTCCATTTGTTCAAACGTTAAGCAGCAGCGGAAGCTAACCCATTTCTTCTTTATTTATTTTTCTCTGTGTTTCTATGTTCAATCATGGTCTAATCCGGCAAGGTCGCCCTTCACAAGAGGAAGAGCTTCAATAGCCAAACTAGCCGAATCGCCAATGCCGGATTCGGACATCTCCTTCGTCAGCAGCGGAAGGCCGAGCGTAGACTACCAGTTCGCAATCATGAGCGACGGGGATGCTCCGAGGCTCTCGACCGGTTCGGATTTCGACACCAGAAGCACCGGATCGTCCTACTCGGGAAACCGGTCCCTCGATCTGTCCACCATCTCCCAGGAAAGTTGCAGACTTTCATGTTCTTCTCGAAATTTGGCAACACCTACTAGGCCACTAGTATGTTTTTTTGCTGATGGAACCACTTTGCACCTTACTTGGGACAAAACGTGCCATCTTTTTGCAGGACGACATGGAAGCCGAGATGAGAAGGCTGAGACAAGAGCTGAGGCAAACGATGGAGATGTACAGCTCAGCTTGCAAGGAAGCTCTCTCGGCGAAACAACAAGCCAGGGAGCTTCACCGGTGGAGAATGGAGGAAGAGCAGAGGCTCGAGGCGGCGAGATTCTCCGAAGAAGCCGCACTGGCTCTCGTCGAGAAGGAGAAAGCCAAGTGCAAAGCAGCACTCGAGGCAGCCGAAGCCGCCGAGAAAGTCGCCCAATTCGAAGCTCAGAAGAGACGCGCTGCAGAGTTGAGAGCCATACAAGATGCAGAGGAGAGAAAGAAAGCAGGAACATCTCTGTCCCAAGGCGGTGCCGATATTCGGTACAGGAAATACGACATCGAAGAAATCGAATCCGCGACACATGACTTCGCGAACAATTTGAAAATCGGAGAAGGCGGGTATGGCCCCGTGTACAGAGCTCATCTCGATCACACGCTGGTTGCAATCATGGTTCTTCGTCCCGATGCAGCTCAGGGGAGGTCACAGTTCCAGCAGGAGGTGGAGGTTCTGTGCTGCATTCGCCATCCGAACATGGTCCTCCTGCTCGGAGCTTGCCCCGAATACGGCTGCTTGGTCTACGAGTACATGGCCAACGGTAGCTTGGAAGACAGGCTATTCATGAGAGGCAACACCCCGCCCCTTTCTTGGCAGCTAAGGTTCCGAATCGCGGCAGAAATCGCAACCGGCCTGCTGTTCCTCCACCAGACCAAGCCAGAACCATTAGTCCACCGCGATCTCAAGCCCGGCAACATCTTGCTCGACCGCAATTTCGTCAGCAAGATCAGCGACGTCGGTCTGGCGAGGCTCGTCCCTCCCTCTGTCGCCGACTCTGTGACCCAGTACCGGATGACATCGACCGCAGGAACGTTCTGCTACATCGATCCGGAGTACCAGCAGACCGGAATGCTCGGGGTGAAGTCTGACATCTATTCGCTAGGCGTTATGCTGCTTCAGATCATTACGGCGAAGCCTCCCATGGGGCTAACCCACCACGTCCAGAGGGCGATCGATCAGGGGACGTTTGCGGAGATGCTCGACCCGACTGTGCCGGACTGGCCCGTCGAGGAGGCGTTGAGGTTCGCCAACCTGGCGCTTCAGTGCGCCGAATTGAGGAGGAAAGACAGGCCGGATTTGGGGAACGTGGTGCTGCCGGAGCTCGACCGGTTGAGGACGCTTGCAGATGATGTCTCGCCCGCTGGAGGGTTCGGGTTTGGCGGGAGCACGGGGAGCTCGCCGTTGAACAGCCAGAGCAGCCAGGATGTGTTCAGCGATCTTCAATCGGGTTATGATAGCTCGAGGAGCCGGTCGAGTACTACATCATCTTCCTACGGTGGCAGAAGATGACGCATGATCCGACTTCGGCAATGACAATGGTGGAGCTGGAACATGTTGTACTCTGTTCTAACACTGGATTATGTACTACCTATATAAACCATATGTTTCATGGGATGAATACAGTGATTGATCTTTCTTCCCTTAATCCTAATCAGCCTCCTCCTCTGGTGAATTCTGTTGATAAGGGTAGGACCGATTCGAACGAACCTGTACGTGATTGACTCAGACGATCGAATCCGACATGTCGAAGGAAAGAATCAACAACAAGAACTGTCTTTCACACACATTTGATATGTATGTATGTATGCACAAGTTATTCTTGATCATCATCGATCATGTTGCTTCGAATGATGAACATTACTTAGGGACGTGGCATACTATTGTGGGGGAAATTGTACAATGTTCAAAGGAGTTTCCAGGCCTTGCCGCCATTGACGTTGAACTTCTTGAGCTTGCCGAAGAGCATGACCAGAATGAGGACGATCTTGCCTTGGTTGCTCCATTTCCCAGAGAAGCTGATCCATTTGTCCTGGCAATTCTCGACAGGGTTAATGCATCTCTTGCAGCTGTAGCCAATCGAATACCCAACATTCCCATATGCACTGCAACCACAAAATCAGTACCATAAAGTTAGATCATTAAAATACAAAACCCCTACTTAATTAATTATTCGTTGCTCTACCCTTTGCAATTGAAGATCAGATAGCTTTTTGGTCATCATCACTAACAAAAGTTAGCTTTCACATCTCATTGGCTAAAAAAAAAATCTAAATATATATACCACCTTTTTTAGATGAGAATAATAATAATTTAATTGGTCTCAATATGTAATTCGAGTTGTTGAGAGACATTTCTCAAATGGATCATATGTTATTCTCTAGCTTGCATTCTTTCCAAACGAAATTTTAGACAGATATAAGTTATATCTTGTAATTAAATCAACTGTTAATATTTGGGATCGTGAGGATTCAAAGACAATACATCTTGATCATATCACAGTACTTTTATTTTATATACTATGTCAAGAACAAGTTGACCCGAACAACCTAAGAATTAGACGGAAGATGTTCAGTACCAAACTAACCATACACAAGTAGACAAGTAGTGATTTGAATAAGAAAATGAAGAATTCCACAAAGATTAAAAAAAAGAACATAAATCTATTGTGGGTGTTAACATCTCGTAGCATCTAATTAAAAGAAGAGAGTTTAATTATAAGCAATGGAAACCCCATGAATGGGAGCAAACTATTAGCTATATCAAGTATTTTTTTTTTTTTTTTGTGTGGAGGTTAATGCATGGTGTAGTGCGCCATTAATATATAAACGTCCCTTTCATTTCATGCATGGTCTTGTTTTGTTTATACAAGATCTCACACACACGCTTTAAATATAGTTAATTAGTTGCCTAGCAAACTTAAACTAATCACTTCAAATAGTACTTTTCGTCGGTCCAAATCATGAGAATTGCTATACGAAAAGTGTGATGGTACCTTAACTTGAGTGAGTGGCCGCAAAAATAAATATTTTTAAGGGAAGATTTGCAACTTGTGGCTCGTGTGCTTAGTTGATTAATAATTAGACATATGCAATGGGGATTAACACCCACTAAATAAAAGTAAATCACATTCTGCCCTAGACTATTTAGCCAACTAATTGTGGTACTTATAATTAAATGCTCCACACTAACTTGAGATAACTTAAAAATATGTTTTTGTTTAGCTTCAATAATTAGAATTGTTGGGAACTGTTTGATTAAAGTTTTTATATTATTTACTGACACGTTTACTCACACGAAAGTCTAACTCATATGGATTAAAAAGTAAGTACAAATATTGTGTGTTTAGCATTGAAATTCAGTCGAAATTCGAATACAAGGATCATCAAAAGTTCTGATATAGTACCATGTCGTCAACCGTTTAGTATCACATTGCATGATATCACTTATGGATACACAATACCCAAATATTCAATGATCATCCATCCATAATTTTCAATATATTTTTTTATATTTTATTCGCTAACTAAAATATTTGTTTCAATTTTCAAACCCACTAGCTAGCTAGGCATGTATTTTTGCCGACTAGTAGTCGATAAAAAAGGCATGCATGGCACAACGATGGATGTCGTTTTAATGGGGTTGTGGACCGCTCCATGATCAAAGCTCAAAACTAAAAGAACCTATCTCTTTCACTAATCCAGGAAAAAAAAGGCAATGTCTATTTTTTACCCAAATCTTTTTCAGATTCTTTTATTTTAACCAAATCTATAGAAATTCTATTTATTATCCAAACGTATTACAATTTATCAAAGTCTGGGCATTCATTATGTTACCGTTACTTATTTCGTCCATGTGAGGGGTGGGATTTTGTTTTGTTTTTTATAATTTTTTTATTAAAAATAGTAAATGATGGTATTCTGACCGCCACGTAGAAAGTCAACTCATTATGGTCATACTTAGTCAGCATTACTAACAGAAAAGTTGACGGAGAGTTAACGTTTGGATAATTTTTAGGAATTCAATAGGTTTGGTTAAAATAAAAGAATCTGAAAAAGGTTTGGGTAAAAAATAGACATTGCCCAAAAAAAAACTAAAAGGTTTGCATATGATGACTATTTCGGTGTACTCACAAAAATGAGTGCATTCAATGCATCCAATTCAAAAACTAGTTATAAGATGTTGGATTTTGAATTTTAATGTGTAGAATTTGTGCAATATGATGATATAACATATGATAACAACTAATTAGCGGATTACCCTAAGCCCTAGACCTCCAATTTTGAGTTCTAAATCCCAAATTATTAACCCTAACCCTAACCCTAAATCTCTAAACTCTAAATCCTTCAAATTAAAGTAAATCTTTAATGGTTTTTGTGCAAATTCATGTGCATTATTGTTCATCACATTATAAGTGATGATTGACATTATTTTGTCATAAATCGCATGTTTAAAATGACGGTGATGAAGCGAGTGCACTGAATCATAGTTAGTAAAATACGGTACGGGAAAGTTACGTAAAAGATACGTACGGGCATTATACTTCATCTTTAAGCTAAAATTACGTTTAATAGTACGTTAATAGTCATAAATATATAAAATTAATCATTTTAAAAATAAATAAATATATAAATAATAGTAAAGTTAACAATTTAATTCGTAAAATACGGATAATAAACGTGTTATACGGGTTTTATACGTGTTTAGTACGGGAACCATGAAATGAACGGGGGAAAATGAAACGGCTTGACAATAATACGAATACAGAAGTTTTAAACGGATAAAGTACGTACGGGTACATATACGTGTATTAAACGGAGTATTTACTAACTATGCACTGAATACAGCCAAAAAAGTGAGTGCACCGAAGACGTCACTATATAAATGTGGTTACCAATTGAACAGGGTTTGTGCAGTGCAAATATCATCTTTAATGAATTAATATTTAACATTTTATTAGTTTTTGTTCCAAATCTATGGCTCAAATGCCACCCAAATGTCCGATCAATATATTCACTCACCAACTTTCTAAAATGGGTTTTTGTTAAAAAAAAAAGGCCTTCTGAAAGATTGGACTTCAAAAAAGAAAAAGAACTTTTCTAAGAGATTGGAAATTTGGAATGCAAAACAGGAAGAAGAAAAAAATTACAATTGGATAATGTTTTTTTAATGATATTAATAAAGGCCGCGCATTTTAATTAAAAGGAAATACGTGTATGAAAGTATCTGAGGAATATTCCCATCGGTGCAACCACGCGTCCACGCCTATATTATAGTGCTTACGGCAAATCCTCAATTTCTTAAAGTGAGCGTAACACAGGCTCTCCAATCTTTGAACTATTTTGATGAAAAGTGTCCTACAACTTTTAACATTTACGTGCTCGATCTCTCTAGATATAGATGGGTTTTACCCGCAATAAAAATATGAGTACATTCTAATTCTAGTTGTTGACAGATGGTTAATTATGAAGTCATATATTACTCTCTCACACTCTCAGATGAAAGCCAACTCACGGGTCTAAAGTTTGCACAGATCCACCATACCATGTGTATAAATAGAATGTCGATGTTGAGGGGATTGTGGAGATTCGAACACGTGTGATCTCACGATCAAACCACTTTTAGATAACATGTCGAAAATCTCTTAGCGTATCAACAGCTCTGATTGTTGGGGGGAGATCATGTATCCATGTATAGATCGATCGATCGATCTTCACCGCCTCCTTAAACGCCGGCCCTCAAATGAAAGCCAGCCGGTGGACTTGAAGTTTTGCAGAGACACATCATACATTATGTTTTAATCCACCATCAATGTTAGGATCATACGTGAAGATTCAAACACACGACAACGTCGACAACTTAATCAAATCAGCTGTGAATCATACCATAGTCATAAGCTGTTTTCTCTCAATAACTCTCCAAACTAGAATCCTCTCTCTATTGACCTCTAGTTCTCTCCCTCTACCCATGTATAGAGTGTTTTAAGAATATAAAATGTTATCATGAGAAGGGAGTGAGGGGAGTCTATCATCAAGTGGACTCTGACGAGAAAGTGCAACCCGGCCCAAGAAATTTGGCACGCAAAGACGAGAGGGGTCCTAGCTCCCTCGATCCACTTTGACATGCTTTTCGTTTCCTGCATATGCTAAGATAGCTGCAACGCATGCATGTTGTCGACTCGGGATCACGATATGATCGAGTAGCAGCGTAGTCAGACTTTGAATTTACTGGAGTCTTTATAAATTCAATAGCATCGACCGACGAGAGTATAAAATTCTAAACTTGAAAGATCATTACTAAAACCCTGTATATATAAAGGATTTTGTTGTCCTATTTTCTATCAGGTGAGGTCCTAGGAGGCTAGGACCCCACTCCTCTCCGCCTCCCACCGCCACTGGATTTAGTGGATTACCCATAATTGATTTCATGATTTAGAGTGAGAAGGGATTAGAAATGTATAATGAATATCGGCTTCTTTTTTCGGGATTGGTTAATCTGTAAAATTTGAAGAAAATAAGTACCCGATTACACTCGACTCTCCTGCTGCCTCTAATGTCAAGTTAGGAAACTCTTATATTCAGGTGGAGATGAGAAATCATATTGTATACCTAGCGAAGCTAGCTACGATGTCTGTGTTTGGCCCTATCTTTAGAAGTGTTTCTGTGCTTCAAAAGTTGAAAACGGATCAAACACATCTTCTATAAGCATGACTTTTGAAAAAGTCGTGAGAAGTGTTTTCACAACATAAAGGTAGAAGTTCCAATTCCGAACTACTACGAAAAATTGAAGCTCCGATTTTGAATTTTTGCAAAAATGTTGTTTTAAAATATAAGATTATCCTTACAATTTTTAATTTTTTCCATAAAAATTTTCTTTCATTGAAAACATAAATAAATTTTAGAATAAAATTAGTTAAATATAAAAGAATTCCGACAATAACCATTTTAATTATTTTTTGTTCGCATTTTATATCAGAAATCTTCTTAGTTATTTTACATGACCTCTGATATTAAAAGGTAATTCTAATAGTTTATGAGCCAAATAGTCAAATACTTTTTTAAAGTATTTTTTTAAAATAAAAACTACAGTCAGAAACTGTTTTTGCAAAAACTACAACAAGACCAAACTATACCTATATATTATGCACCAAGATTTAAGCTAGGTATGCCCAGAAAAAATCTAGACCTACCATGAAATTAAGAAGCAATGCATTATCTTTTCACTAGCATGATTTAAGTTCCCACAATATCTTAACCATGAAACACATGTAAAGAAAAATATTTGAAATATGTGGTTTATTTGATAATCCATTAAAATTACGAGATATACATGATCCAACAATATGTCAGTTAAGAATCAATATAGTGGCAAAATCCCCAAATACGTGTTTTCTGCAAATGTTCCGCAAGGGGGGAAAAAGAGACTCGAATAAAAGGGTTTGGGGAAAGTTGGGGATTTCCCTTTGGTCTCTAGTCTTAGAGCCAAGAGAAGAAAAAAAAAGGTTTAGTATAGTGGAGTACTGAAAAAATATTCAATGAAGAGGGTAATTATTCCCCATAATTAAATCACTCTCCATCGGAATAACATGTCCCAAAGAAGAAGAAAAACATTCCCCTTAACAGAATTCATTCTCTTCAATCCTCAATGGAACAATTCCTTAAAAAAAATATTATTTATTTCGTATGATGAATTATGCCAAAAATAAACATTTTAAAGACGTGAAAATGAATTTATTGACTTGAATCAAAATTAAATAAAACAATTACAACTTCCAAACGACATCAAGTTAATTAAGTTGGAACAAAACACAAACAAAGGAGGGAAAGGAAATGGGAGGATAACCCACAATCAAAACATATATATATCTTTACTTTAAAACAGAGATAAGATTTGACTAATGCCGTCCAGAACCAGCTAGCCAGCAGCCTATCGAATACACGTTTTAGCCACCAAAATGATCATGAGCTAGTGTCGCCAGCAATATAGTTTTGTGGTGTCCAAAAATTACTGATCAAACCGCCCGTACGTTTTAATTATAAAATTATGGGACATATGATTATTGTAACGGGATAGAATAGAAAACAATTGAGAGGTTTTTAAGAATTTAGAGATCGAATTAGGGATTTGAATGAAGGATTTGAGAAGGGAAGAGGAAGAGGCTGGAGGGCTTTAGATAAAATAAAAAATAAAAAGCGAGTGGATTCAAGGAGAGAAGAAGAGAGTTTTGGATTTGAGATAATTCTTCAATATTCTGTTTGTTGACTGATTAACTCTCTTACATACGTAATTGCAAAATATACAGAAATCGGAAATTTTCATAAACTATTCTTAATTGACCTAGCTAGTTGACGAATCACGAAACTGCCACGCGTAACTCTCAAAATCATATCAGTTAAAAGTACCCCCAAAACCAACAAAACGTCCCGGAGTATAACCAAAACTTAATTAAACTGGATCGTGGCGTAAAAATGGTAAATAATCTAGAAGGGTTATGATAGAGTGAATGCGTATTCAGTTTCTAAGTGCGATCCTAGCAGTACCCCTCATCAACGTGGTTGCGCCAGTTTTCATCTTATGATACGGATAATAATAATTTTTCCGTCGAATAACAGAACATAGTAGTGTTCCTTATCGTGTCTCACGGAGATCACTCCGAACTTCACATGAACTCTAGAATTTATGTGATTCTTGTCATTCGATATGAATTATTTTATTTATGGTAGAATATGCTAACGGTGAAGACGACAAAGAAGAAGAAGAGCTATAGTATATATAGAATAATAATAATAATAATATTAAGTAGTGTACCTGACAACTTCGAAGGCAATGGTGAAGACGTTGAAATTGAGGGGATCTTTCTTCAAGCTTTCCCTCTCGGTGATGCACACCATGACGACGAAGACGACCAGAAAAGAGAGCTGCGAGAATATCACATTCTCCACAATATTTCCCGCCCTTTTCTCTCCAGTAGTGTTGCTATTTTGAATAATAATATTATTATCACGACTGTTTCTGTCCTCTTGTTCCTCTTCTCTTTCTCTTTCTGTGGGCAGGAACGACGTGTATGGAGGAAGATACCTGCAACAACGAGGAGAGAATAGATTCAAGCTTATAACTCTTATCATGCATGGAGATCATGGACTTCAGAATATATGATATTGATCATAAGATCATCAATCACCAACTCAACCCACAAAAAAGAATATATATGATTCAAGTGATATCACAGTCGTACTTTGTTGTATTTCTGCGAATCAGAATGGTCCATTATTATTTCTTATCAAATTGACAGAGCTAAATGAAACAACAATTTACAACACTAACCACGCTTTAGTTCGAATGGTTAATAATTTATTCAATACTTAACAGACAACAACAAAAATATAACTCACGAAGTTGCTAGATATTGAAATGATTAAGATAGAAGACTGATTTTTGTAGATAATATTAATTTTTGGGTAATGTCTATTTTTTATCCAAACCTTTTTCAGATTCTTTTATTTTATCCAAACCTATTAAAATGCTATTAATTATCCAAATCTTTCGTAATGAATCAAAATATTAGTCATTTTTACGCTATCGTTAATAATTTTGTAACTCTTTTCTTAGTTAAAATACTAAAATTTTGTAATGCTGACCTTCATGTGTCTCTTCCAAATCAGTATCATGTTGCCAAGTCAATATTACTAACAAAATTGCTAACTGAAAGTTAACATTTGGTTAATTTTTAATATTTTGATAGGTTTGGCTAATAAAAAAGAATCCGAAAAAGATTTGGATACAAAATAGACATTGGCCTTAATTTTTCTCTTTAACATTAAGGGCATATATATTCGCCATTTAATTATGCATAAGCGACACGCCGAAAAACTTATAAACAAAATGTTTTAGGACTTTGCTACGTTGAGATGCATGTCACCGTAACATGGACTTTTCGGTCGGCCTAATATGTTGTTTCAGTTTTGTGAGGTTCAACGACGCGGTTAACCGTCTATAATAAATGGTCGACCTATTTGGAAAGCGAACAGAATGAAAAGGTCGACCCAAATACCTCATAGGCCGGCCATTGTGCACTTAATAGGTCGATCGCATAAGTACGATTGTGTTATAACCGATTATGTGTTTTTATTGTTAAGTGTTAAAATAATTGTTGATTGATATTATGTGGTTTTAGATTTTAATTATGTGTCAACAATTATGATTTGTGTTTTATTCTATTTCTTGTTAGTTTGTTTAGTTGTTATGTTATGAAGTTATGAGTCCTTGTTATCATTATTTATGAATGATTTTCTTGGTTTGAAACGTAATTTGTACGAGCAAAAGAATCACCCACATCGACATACATAAGTAAAAAAGACGCAGGGCATATGTTGATTTTCCTATATTCGGTCGACCTCGTACCGGATTAGGTCGACCACGAAACCTACACGATCTTCATTTTACGTCAAATGATGATGGATAAATGGATACAACACTTCTCTTCTATCTGGTCGACCTCTTTCTGTAAATGGTCGGACCGTTTTGTTAATGATCGTCATCAAGTGGTCGACCTATATACCTTTACGGCCGACCGTTTTGCTTCTGACGCCATTGAAAAGGGCGACCGATGTTTTATTGTGGTCGATCAACAATGACAACTTAAACTACAAACGGTCGACCACTATGTTTTAAAGGTCGACCGTGATAATTCATCAAGGTGCCCACTTTAATGTATTCGATCGACCTCTGTTAAAATTCAGTCGACTGAAAAGTACAAGTTAAGGTGACATGCATGTCACCCTATACGATGCCTTTAACATTGCCCAATGCCTAATTGCAGGCTTAAACGCACTTTTTTGCCCTCCCCGGTCCCATTCCTATTCCTATATGACGAGCAAGTGAGCAACGGCTTTTCTCTGTTACGAAAGGTTGCCTAATTGCCCAATGCCATAGTGCTACTTCACATATATAACCCATAAAATTCCAAATTTTGTTCCACTACTACTCTCCTCGATCGATCGATCTCCATTATATTCACGAGAAGAGGTGGAGATAGGGAATATTGAGAATTAGTTCTACACAGCACATCGCACCATTTTATTTATTTAATTATTTATCTAATATAAGAGCAGTGATATCCTCATAATAATATATTCCCTTTCACCTCATATTTCCTATCCTAATGGTATATATTACCGTCACACAAACAAAATCGAGACTGCTGCTTTAATTTCGGTTTAATGATGCTAGCCCTTAAAATTCTATAATAATTACCATTTTACCACGGTTTTTATTTTATTTTTAACACTAAAACATATCTCCCAAACAAACAAGAAAAATAATTTGATTTCATATCAATTGGGTAACAAAATGAGTTGAGTTTGCATTAGTCGTTGATGAGATCAATAAGATCGCTTAAAAATTATATGGTAATAATCCAATGAGATTGTGTTAGCAATATGTTATATGTGTTATGTTATATATGTGCGTGAATATAAGTTGATTTGAGTAATTAGTTAATAGTTATTCAGTAAGTGTGGCTGTGTGCTGATTTTGAAAAAGAGTTTCTTGGAATTTTTCCCCCTCAATTCGGCAAGAGGGAAAATAATGGAAGGGAAAGAGTATCTCCTGTTCTTTTGGTTTAAAAAGAGAGTATCTTTCCTTTATATGGGAGAGAAAGAGTATCTTAGTGGCAAAGAAAAGGTAGAAGCCAACTTTCACCGAATTAACAACAGTTAGTTCGTTATACAAAGTATCTCTCCAATCGTTGTATAACATTGTTGACATATAACATGCTCATTTATGTGATCTAAAACTTTACGTTAGCAAAATTTTCTATCATTTTTACTAGGGATGGCTATACGGTTCAGTCCGGTTAAATTGACCCGAATTGATCCGGTCCTAGTCCGGTCTTTTCGAGAGGATTGGATACAGTCCGATCTTGATCCGGTCCGGTCTCAATTAGGTCTTGATTTTAGATTGAGCTTGTGGGAATTTTAGTTGCCCGGTGACTCAAAGGGTGAGGAGTTTGTTAAGTTTTGGGTGTTGGGCTCTCTTATCCGGTCTTTAACCAGTTTTCGATCCGATCTCAAACGATTTTTTTTACCTCAAATCTAAACCCGAAGGTTGGATTGGATTGTTTGTTATCCAGTTCCAGTCCTAATTATATGGTCTGATTTCGAGTAAAACCAAATAGCCATAACCAAATAGCCCACCCTAATTTCCACCATGAGTTGAGTTATCACTACACTAACTACCCCTTAGTTTCTTTTCTACATAACACATGACCCCATCCATGCAACTTGGAGGAAGGAAGTCCAGTAAACCTTAACTTGTTCGAACTCCATAAACAATGAACAAATCTAGTCCTTTGGCATCGATGATCATGATTGATTTACTATATAAAAAGAGGCATCAACTCAAAGCACAGGCGGGAAACTAAAGCTAAAAAGGAAGACAGGAAACAACAGCCACAGGAAAAAAAATCGTACCAACGGACCAACTTAAAGCAGAGCAGAACAAAAACAGAGTAATTCTAACTTACATCATAGCGACGAACACCACCAGAACCGCCGGCGAAATCGTCGACAAATCCACGATGCTCTCTCCGGCGTGCCTCGAATTCACCGCCATGAAAGCCCCACCCACCAGCTTCTGAACCGGATTCAGCCCCTTCATCCCTTCCGAGTCCCAATCCAACCCGCAGAACATCACAAACTGCACCGCCACCAACCCGGCCACCGTCGCCGCCAGATACGCCGAGTGCCTCCCCGGGAGGAGAATCCCGTTCGTCACCCCGTCGCGCTTTACCTCGAGCAGGAATTTCGAATAATGTTCTGCGTTGTTCTTGGGGAACAACTTCCCCGCCAACCAGACGCAGAGGCGGATGCAGGACGGGGACAGAGTGTTCCCCAACAGAACATGAGGGATGAGGAGGAGGAGCATCCCCGGGTTCCTCCCGAACGGGATCATGTTCTCGTTCGTGGGGAGGAACCCGCAGTTGGTGAATGTGGAGACCACGGTGAAGAGGGAGAAAGTGAACGTCCCGAGTCCTTTCTCCCTCAGGACGTTCCTGGCGCTCGGTTCGAGCGCCAGGTACAGAGAGAGCGAAGAAATGCCCAGGACGTGAATCGACGTGAGATAAGTCAGCGTCACATAGCACAGGAACTGAATCGACTTCCGCTTCAGATGTACCTCTGACCAGTCCTCCTTAGTGGTGGTGTTGTTGTGGTGGTGGTTCTGATGATGAGCCGGAAGAATGTCTGGGACTGAGAGCGGTACCACTACCGCTCTCAGCTCCAGCTCGTAACGCGGATTGAAGGGTGTGGGCTCGTTTTTGCCGTCGTTGTTACTGGCAGAAACGAGCCTGGTCACCTCCTTCCTCATTTTATAGTTTTTTATGACCAGGCCGAGGAGGGAGGTGAAGACCTCGCCCCCGAGGAACATGAGGAAGGTGATGAGGAGGAGCTGGGAGTCGGAGAAGACCTCCATCTCGACGGAGGCCATGCTGGAGCCGGTGGTGGCGGAGATCGAGGTGAAGAAGTAGTCGAGGGTTCCAGGGATGTCGTCGGAGGCAGTGCCAGTAGGTCGTGTGTTAAGGGAGTTGAGGATGCAGTACCCGACGAGGGAGAGGGAGAGGAGATAGCAGAACTGAGAGAAGCATGAGTTTAGTGGGAGGGAGGACAGCTTGTTGAAGAACGCCGCCGCCGCCGCCGGCGGGTACTTGCCGGAATGATGGTGGTGGGGGAGGTGGCGAGTGAGAGTGAGAGAAGGGGAGATGCATAGACGGTTCATTTTGTATAAGTTGAAGAGTTATGGGAAAACAAATGGAGCGATGTTGGAGGGTATATATAAGGTATTAGAGGCCATATGAGAGTAAAATATGATATTATTATTATTATTATTATTATTATTATTATTATTATTTAAGAGAAGTGAATCCAAAATTATTGGGGAAATTAGTGTTGAATTAGCAAAATCAAAGATGCCCTTGTAGGCTTGTACATGGGAGCTATAGTTTCCCCCTTGGCGTGTAGTGTGATTATACATACTTGTTTCTTTTTTGCTTTGCCACATGGGAATCGAAAAATCTTGTTTGTAATTGTAAGATCAACAAGTGTCTTGTAAGGTATTCCCAACCAATTTGGAAGTGGCTTTGATGCTCAATATCATTACAAAATCTCTCTGGTTATAGGAATTAATTTGTTTGAATGCAATTTCTTGTCTCTTAAATGAAATGTTTATATTAATGTGATATATATAATGCAATTTCTTTTATTTTTAAAATGATATAAATGAAGGAAAATTATATTTTCTGAAATAAAATTAAAATATGGTAAGGATTATCTTGTATTTTCAAAACAGCTTTTCGCAGAGAGTTTCTGCTTTTATGTTATACAAAAACACTTTTTGGCTTTTCAAAAGCCGAGCTTTTAGAGGTGTTTGACCCTGTTTAACCTTTTGAACCCGAAAAACATTTCTAAAAGTCGGGCCAAACATAAGGATAGTATGGTTGGTATGTAGTGGGAAAGTAAGGATTTAGAGTGAGAGGGATGGAGAATGATATATTGTAACAGATTCCATGATTAAATTTAAATATTGGAAGATAGAGACTAGTGTCCTTCCTTAACTACATTTAGTTAGCATCACAACTCGTTTGGTGAATGTATAGTACAATCAAAGAAAGGAACTATGTGCAATGTGTGTGCAACACATGTGAGTAGTGTGGTATGGTCAATTATGAAACATTAATATGATGCAAATATGTGAACAACCAATCCAAAGCAAATTACAAAGAATTTCATAAATATAGAATGCATAGTTTTTTTATGTAGTCGGATAGTGATGGATTCAGAAATACAAGTCAAAGTTCGTAAACTCTAACATTACAATTAACATTACAATACACAAACCAAAATAAATCTACCCTTCAATAAGGAAACACCCACCTAGTCTAATCATACTAAGAACCACGGATTTAGAAACTCTATCGTACCTACCAGCCGATCTGATCGGATATCATACCTCAAACAATAGATAATTTTAGCGATATGAAGCCGTTGAACCACAATTTTAGCATACGACATCATATCACTAACTTTTTTTATATAACTTTCGTCACGATTTCACAATTACAGCACTTTTAGCGATATGAAGCGGTCCTCTCGCAATTTTGGCTAAAACACGACCACCAACTGACCCAACCCACCTTAATTTATTTCCTCTTCAATTAGGTTTATGAATCAGCCCACCTACATTTTTGCTCTTATGTTGGGCTACGTTTAAGTTAAGCCCACTAGAGCCTTGTGAATCGAACATAATCCAGCTCTAATTAGAATAGTTTTTATATGATTTTAGCCTGGTGGGCCTATACCGTCCATCCAAACGCCCAAGCTAACAATTTGGATACAATTACCTAGGAAATGGAAATTTGTGAATGTATAGTGTATACTAATACCACTGTGGATAAATAAATACATAGCACTATATATTGAGTGCATACCAGAAATCATCTAATTTGTATAAAAAAATTTGCCTAATGCATACTGTAAACGTTCAAATGCGTACTACTACTACTGTGGAAATTAGGGTTGAATCTCGGCCAGATCCATTCATGACCTGTAAGAATCTTGTTTGATCCGCATTTGCATGATTAATTTATAAAACTTATATGTCCTGCATGTATTTCCTATTTGACCTTGTCTGACCCGCTCAGGTAGGACAGGGTCGGACCGAATTAGCGGACCGATTCAAATCAATCAACAAACTAATTTTTTGAAAATCACATATTGGTACCCAAATTTATATTTTCTCACAATTTAGTATCTAAAATATTGTTTTTTTAACAAAAAAGGTCCATAAATTTTAGTGGTACTATTACGTTTTAGTATCTTTTTATTTTGTCTTACATTATAGTATCTGAACTTTTAAAACTTTACAAATAGGTCCAATCTATTCGCAACCTATCCTCTCCCAATTTTAAATCACTAGTTGTTGCTATGGTTGATAAGGCAGAAAAGCCACCCGGCCCTAATTTGACCCGACTCTACTCAATCCTTACAAGGGCAAAAGATGACCCGATTCTAAACTTTCTCTATAGACAAACCGAATCAACTCGACTCTCACTCCAAACCAAATCAGATCAGTGAGTATATAGTGCCAGCCTTACGGCCCTAGTATAAAGACATATGGTATAAAAAGAATTTGAATGCATACCAGAAATTTAATTCATACAAGTAACAATAGAATACTATACATGCCAATAATTACCAAAAGTACATACCAATAGGGGTGTTCAAACGGTTTGGTTACTATGGTAACCGTTTTAACCGGTACTATTTGGATAATTTGGATAATTGGTTTGGTTTGGTTAAAGTTTTTTGCTTGTTTGGTTTAGGTGGTTTGGTTTGGTTTCAGACACTCCTAACCAGTCAAACCAAATTAACCAGTTAAGTAATTAGTCATATATCTAACATATATTATATACACATACTTAATACTTTGCATAACCACTCAAGAGTTAACGTTCATCCCTTTTAGACTCATAAAATATAAAGCTCAATATTGCTCATATAGTGTATATTTGTATATGTAAAATGTAGGGAAAAATCCAAAAGTACCACTGTTTAAAAAAAAAATCCAAAAATACCACCCAACCCCAAAAAATTCCAAAAATACCACCATTTTTCAAAAACCGCCACCCCACCCAGCGGTTTGGTCGAAAACCGCTTGTCGGGGGCGCGGTTTTGGACCAAACCGCGGGCCTAGGGGGCGGTTATAAAAAAAAAATGGACCAAACCGCTGGGTGGGGTGGCGGTTTGGCCCAAAACCGCCACCCCAACAAGCAGTTTGGTCCAAAATTTTTTTTTTTCGACCAACTCCTAACTTCGGTCGAAACTTAAAACGAACGTAACTTTGCACTCGGGTATCCGATCGTAGCGATTTTTTTCTTATTTCGCATAACTTTTCAAGATCTACAACTTTTACTAGGATGAAAGTTTCAAAACAGGAACTATTTGTGGATATACGGGACCTTGAGAATAACTTTACCTTTACTTTTCAGAAATCCATGTACATTTTGAAATTATGATTATATTAAAAGTTGTAGATCTTGAAAAGTTATGCGGAATAAAAAAAAATTCATGACATTCGGATTTTGGAGAACAAAGTTATGGCCGCCCAAAGTTTGACGAAATAAAAAAAGGTCGTTCGGGGTGGCAAATGACGTTTTTTCGAGACGAAGACGGAACCCGACGGTTTGAGACTTGCAAGATCTCAAAAAGTTATTTGGATTCAAAAAATGGAGGCCGCAAACTTTTTGAGATCTTGCAAGCCGAAAACCGCCGGGTCTCGCCTTTCGTCAAACTTTGGGCGATCATAACTTTGTGCTCCAAACTCCGAATGTTATGAACTTTTTTTTGATTCCGCATAACTTTTCAAGATCTACAACTTTTATTATAATCATAATTTCAAAATGTATATGGATTTCTGAAAAGTAAAGGTAAAGTTATTCTCAAGGTCCCGTATATCCACAAATAGTTCCTGTTTTGAAAATTTCATCCTAGTAAAAGTTGTAGATCTTGAAAAGTTATGCGAAATGAAAAAAAATCGCTATGATCGGATACCCGAGTGCAAAGTTACGTTCGTTTGAAGTTTCGACCGAAGTTAGGAGTTGGTCGGGAAAAAAATTTTTGGACCAAACCGCTGGTTGGGGTGGCGGACCGCCACCCCAACCAGCGGTTTGGTCCAATTTTTTTTTTTTTATAAACGTCCCCTAGGCCCGCAGTTTGGTCCAAAACCGCGCCCCCGACAAGCGGTTTTCGACCAAACCGCAGGGTGGGGTGGCGGTTTTTGAAAAAGGGTGTTATTTTTGGAATTTTTTGGGGTTGGGTGGTATTTTTGGAATTTTTTTTTTAAACAGTGGTACTTTTTGATTTTTTCCAAAATGTAGACCACAACATATGGACGCCTAATTTAGATAAATTTCATACATTATGATGGATGAAAACTTGAAAGGAAGGTTATTTCCAGCCTATGATAATTGTTAAGAGACTAAGTCAATTTACACAAACACAACAATTCATTAACCCATACCATTGTCATTAATTTTTGTTAGGTAAATACTTCTATACTAATCGTAAGATAATTGTCTTAGTTGCATGTATTTTTGTTAAGGGTCAATTATAACTACGTGTTGATTTTTATGTTTTATTCATTATACAAATTGAGAATTGTTGCATTAACCGGAAATTTTTCATCGTCAATGATAATGTAGACTTCATGTTATAAAAATTAACGTTAGGATTCCGGACACACCTCCAAAAGTTTTAAGTGGCACATCTAATGTAATTATAAGGAGTGAAATGGCATTTTTACTATGAAAAAAAAAATTATATTTGAAATCAAATTAGTGATCAATTTTATCAATGATTACTGGGTTGTATGCATTGAAAATTGTTTTCTTATTTTGCAAAATAAAGGGTAAATATTTTTTACAAAACTCTCTTAATGTACAAATTGGTTGCTCACTGTGAAAAAAATTGAAATTTTGTACTTTGGAAAGTTAAGTAAGAAGCAAATCGCATCCAAATCATATCGGTGGTTCGAACTAATGACCTTCTATGGAAATTTAAATTAGTTGTGGCAAACGGGTGAGGTGAGGCTAATATCTCAATACTCATAGTCATCCCGTACTAAGCGCGGGTCGGACCGTGCGGGTATGATTTAGGACAGGACGATCGACCTACTTTTATATGTTATTTTAAATAAATAAAAAATACAGGGACCGTGCGGGTATGATTTAGG